ATATATATATATATATAAAACATTTACCGCGCTGTTTTTTGAATTATAAGCCCCTAAAGCTGTAATTAAGGGTGTTTTTAGCAGGTAGTACTGTTGCTATGGTAACATATTAGGCGACGAAAATGATAACAACATGTTCACCAATCTCTGGGCAGTTTTTTGATATCATGATTGTAGCATCAAGTGATAAAGAGCGGTAATAACAACCCATCAAAATCTAAGTGCTGGAAACTGTGTCGAGCCACCTTAACAATTAGATTATGAGCTCGTGATTTCTACGAGGTCACATTTGATGAGATGGACGACCGCTTACAGGACATTGCCCAGTTAACAATAAACATTCTTTTCTTTTATTGCCTTTTGCAATGCCTCGATAATGCTGCTGTCCCGCGTGGGGACTCCCATGGGAAAAGGACGGGGGTGCTCGTTGGAAATTTTGAAAAGAGCCCCTAAGAGGTATCAAGATCCTATTTTAAGGATGTGGCTCGAAATATCAACTAGGCTGAAGATTTCCCGTCTAAAACTATTTAAGTAGCCTTATATTGCCGGTTTTCATATCACGTCACTAAAATTCAAACTACAAAACTATTGATCCTCCTGACATTTTACTTCCATGATGTATAAGAGCAGCTGAAAACTAATATTCATACAAGTTTTTGCTCCGAATGGGTTCTTGGTTTTGTGATAGACTACGCGTGAATTTCTAAGCTTTTACGTAACGCGGCATTTAAATGACGGCCGAGAGAGCTGTCATGTTGGTTAAAAATGTGACTTAATTCGGGTAATTTGGCTATCCGAACAGTTCTTGTATTAGAAAAAGTATTATTTTAATGTTTTTGAGTTCTTCGAGAGATAAATTCACGCTTTTGTAGCAAAACTCGTTGAGAGATGTTTCTGTTGGTTTCCGGCCGCCATGTTGGTGCCCATCCGGATGGGCACCAGCATGGCGTCTTAATACAAATGTCTATAAATTTGGGTAAAAAGTTTCTCCGCATATCTTGCATAAGAAAAATTGCTGTGACCTCAACCTTGGCGAGAGTCTTTGCATATTTACTTTCTTTCTTTTCTCGGATTCTGGACTTAATCAATTGAACGGTTTTGATTTTGATTTTGATCTGTTTTGAATGGCGTGACACTGAAAACCAGCAATTGATCCCTTACGTGGTGATTTACACTTTTGTATTCAACAGGCCGAAAGTGAGTCAGCTGGTTACGCTCCATGTTGACTCAAAACCAATTTCTGTTCTCTGTCACATGGGAGATTTTGGATGTGGAGATGGAGGATGGACACCGGTCATGAAGATTGATGGCAACAAGGTGCGGCATTTATCTACAGGTGTAATTTTCTTTCACCGTAATTTTTAGTATAAACAGAGCAGATACAATTTTTGTATCCGTAGTATTGTGTGAAGCTAGAGGCTGCTTTTCATGCGATAATTAAGATCATTACGATCAATGGAAAGTAGTTTACATATCGCAATGATCACTAAATGCAGCGATGACCTTCTTTCTATACAGTGAATATAGGCAAATTTCTACTGCCTTGACAGACCCTACTTTATTATGTTTAAAATTCGTATCCCGCAGGATGCAATGTGCTGTGAAAATTTTAGAAGATTT